AAGGAAGGAAGGAAGGAAGGAAGGAAGGAAGGAAGGAAGGAAGGAAGGAAGGAAGGAAGGAAGGAAGGAAGGAAAAGAGAGAAAGAAAGAACAGGTTAAAGCAACATTGGAGGTCATCTCAACCCTCTTTCTTGAAATGGCCTGATCCCACCAAACGTCAGATGCTGCTTTGGTATCAATGCTCATGCAACCTTGTAAATTCCATCGTGGTAATACACCTATTTCCATCTATGCCCTTCCCAGAGCAGGGGTTCACATGTGTTCTTTTTTACTCCCCCCCCCTTTTTTTGTAAGCCTTCAGGCCTGGACTGTCTTAGCCTCCTAGCTGCATATATATCCTCTCTGTGCTGCAGACAGCTATAATGCGTGAAAGGGGTAAATCCAAACACCATGCGCCCTCTTACAGCACATGCAAACAGGGTGGGATTGTCTGGTGGACAAACGCCACTGCGCTCACCACCTGCCATACAGCAAAACATCAACAGAGACATTAACGTGGAGCATTTACCCAGACTTCAACCTCTGGAACGGCATCTGGATTAGATCAACATTTCCGACTTAGGGTTTCTTTATTACAGCACTCCAAGACCCCAAGTATGCAAAACGCAAAGTCCGTAACCGGCTACTTTTACTCACTAATCTTAAAAATACGAATATTCTGCAGTCATCTCAGTGCGAATTCTACAGGCGCCGTAACAATATTTAGAGGCATTTAGTGAGATTTAAGGTCTTGCTAGTCTAATCTTGTGACTGTGCCGTTCTCCAACATCTGGCCACAGCTGGAACAGACAGCGCCTACGGAGAAGACCATGGGCTCAATGAAAAGAGAATAAAGGTGAGTCGCAATTAGCGTGGGTTTGAAGAATGCGGCGTTCGATTTAGTGTGAATTGTAAATTGACACCAGGTCGTGTTTAATGCGACCCTCAATTCAGTTAATGTGAGGCTGGTGTGTGCGCAGCTGCGGTTTGACACGCTGCTCATCTTGGTGTGTGCAAAATGGAGAAAAGGAAGATTCCACGAGAGGAAAACAGTACAAGAAGCTTGCTATTACATTAGAGCAAAAATTTGATGCAATTGAACAACATGAACGTGGTCATAGCAACGCTAAAATAGGACAAGATGCTGGAATCCCTCAATCTATGGTAGAATTTTTTTGTTTTTATTCTGCTTTCTAGAACTATTCTGTGTCTTTGATAACCATACATTTGAATTAAAAGTATGGTCAATCCTTTACTGTAATATTTCATTAATGTACATATAAAAATTCATGTTTAATTTTTTCCATTGCCTATTTGATCCTTTACTGTAATATTTCATTAATATATCTATAAAAATTTATGTTTAAATGTTTTCATTGCCTATTTACACTGAGCTGGAACCAATTACCCTATTTTCCATAGAAAGATCACTTTGAATGGTGCAAATTGACCTTACTAATCAAGACCTACCTGTATAACTAAAATGAACTTACACCAACTTCCTTCACTGTCTTGGTCTTCTTGCAAACCAGACTTGGTTCTACCACCTCCATCCAGCCCTTCAAACAGCGCCTTTTCTTCTTAAATTTCTCGCCCCCCTCTTTTCCAGAATCTCATCCATTCCTTCCTTTCCACCCATTCACTCTTCCTGCACACACAGGTAGTCCTCACTATCCGACCACAATAGGGGCCAGAATTTAGGTTGCTAAGCAATTTGGTTGTTAAGTGAATCGGAGCTGATTTTATGAGGTTTTTTTTATGAGGGTTGTTAAGTGAATCACCATGGTCGTTACGTGAATCACATGGTCGTTAAGCGAATCCAGGTTCCCCAATGAACTTTTTTGCCAGAATTTGCTTAATGATGATTTGCTTAATGACCACATGATTCACTTAATAACCGTGGTAATTGGCTTAACGAACCTCATAAAAAAGGTCGCAAATAGCGATCATGTGACCGCAGGGGTCATAAAGCACATTGTCATAAGGCCATTGTAACTCTGGACTGTTGTTAAATGAACAGTCATTAAGCAAGGACTGCCTATATTTGTTTTGCAATTTGATCCAACTTCATTCTCTGTATATGATCAAACCAACTCAAACTGGATCTTTCTTACTAGCCACTGGCATTTGTATTCAGTCTGCTTTCATCCGGCACCCACTCGTTCTTGACCTTGTGTCTGGTTTTACTGCACATATTTCCTAAGTACAGCTAGTCCTCATTTAGTGACTGCCTCATTTAGCAACTGTTCGTAGTTACAACAGCGATGAAGAAATCACCTTGCAACCAATCCTCACATTTACGATCTTTGCAGATTGGTAAAGCAAAGGAAAACTGAAGGAAAATCATAAGCACAGTCGCGGGTTCACTTAGCAATCACTTCGATTAGCAACCGAGGTGCGCATCTCGATTGTAGTTGCTAAACGAGGACTACCCGTATCCCATTCCCATTGCATTCAACTTGTTATGGTTCTCCTGTCATACCCAAATCTTGCTTGTATATTAGCATGTAGGCAGAAGCATAGCTATTTTTGCTTCTTTTCACAAATACCCATTCCACCCAATAGACCATATATCATCCACTACCTACCCACATTTACACATCCAAATAGTTCTCCCTCTATTTCCCTAACTTTAGTAAACATTCACCTACTTGTTCTAGGTTTTCAGTAGTTATGTAGAACCTGCAATCGTTTGCTTCACTTTCTGGGTCAAGCACCTGGGTCTTTGATACAAGGATTTTCAAATCAATGTTCCTTGTTGCATTATACAACATCCATGGGATCACCACTGTCAGGACTCATAGCAGAGATTGTAATGCAACGCCTAGAAGCTATAGCACTGCCACACATACAACCTAAAATATGGATATGACACACCTATACAACATCTTCCAACAAAATGGATACCCACGTAACTTTATCAAAAAGTGCCTCACCCCTCAACCCACCACAAAACAACCCACAAAAGCCATGAAAAGGATCACACTGCCATACATCAGAAACATCTCAGAAACTACCAACAGATTATTACAACCAC